CGAGGTGCTTGGGGCGGACGGGGCGGAAAAGGCTGGGAAGCTGGGAGACCGCGGGCAAGCGAAATCAGGCGGAGGGAGGGAGGCCCGGCGGGGGCGGGGGCAGGCCGGGGCCGGGGCCCGGGCAGGGAGCCGGGGTCCGGGCGCGCGTGGGAAGGGCCGGGGCGGAGCTGGCCGGGACTGGCGGCATTAGGTGAAGCTCATGGAGACTGTGTGCTCGAGAGCCTTGCGGCGCAGGGAGGCGATGCTCGTGCCCCGCCACACGTCGCTGCTGTCCGGGGAGCTGCAGAGCTGGGGCGAGCCGGAGACGTTGCTGGGGCCGGGGAGGGAGGCGGGCACCATGCCGGGGAAGGCTGGCTGGTAGAGGTGCGACTGCAGCCCCGCGCCGTTCGAGCCCGCCAGGCTGTTGGACAGACCCATGGAGTTGGGCGGCGGCCCGGCCGCCAGGCTGCACTGAGACAGCGACTGCGCCATGGCCTGCTGCCGGCCCAGTGCGGGCGGCAGCGGCAGCTGAGACACGCCCGGCATGGCGGCCGCCGCCCAGCGGGTGTCGTTGGCGTGGAAAGAGCACAGGCTGTCGCCCATGGCGGCGGCTGCAGCGGCGGCAGCCGATGGGAACTGGGGCAGGCCGGGCGTGGGCAGCAGCGTGCCGGGCGCGCGGAACACGTTGGTGGTCTTCTTGCGCTTCTTCCACTTGGCGCGCCGATTCTGGAACCAGACCTGGAGCGGGCAGGGCGAAGAGACAAGACAAGGGCGCTGTGAGCCACCCGGGACCCGCCAGGGTGGGCTAGAGCCCCGCGTCACTTACAGTGGCTCGGCCCCAAGCTGAGCAGGTGCCGCGGGATCCTGGCTCTCCATCATCCGTGGCGCCTTGATGCACGGTTTGCGCCCACCAAGCGCTGGCTACAGCGTTCGCGACTCTTGGTACCCGGTGGCGCTCTCGCGCGGAGAAAACAGCATCTACCTACTGCGCGGTGCAGCGTTCACCACGCCCCTGCACATTGGCACATTCTGTGCACTGCACAGATGTACGAGTCTGCAGGCAGGCAGGTGTCAAGGCTCGACCCACAGGTGTACAAATGAAGATAAACATGTGTACCCATGTGGCTTAATAGCACGTTTTATGGCACTGATGGAGTATAGAATTTTCAGAAACCCTGGAAATTTGGAAATTGATTAAAGGCCGTGAATGACATAACCAGTTTCGAAATCGAAAGACAAAGGAAAACGCCTAACATCGCGGTTGACAAAGCAGAGAGGTTAATATAGTGATCCGTGTGGGAAACTGAACCACCGAGCTGTGGTGGTGTTTGACCCTTCACCATGACTTCTGATTCTCTCCACAGCCCTTGGTGTAACCTCACAAGGCCCCCTGTCCCATTCCCAGACCACTGTGAGGGTACCCTGTCTGGGATGTGTTGGTGTGCTGGAACTTACTGCCAGAGTCCTGACCCCCAGGTCTTTAGCTTTTCAGTAACTTACTTAAGGATCCCTACTAAGAAGGCATCTAATACTTGCAAGTCACACCCCACTCCCTTGTTTTATAAAGTAAGGCAAAATGTCTGACCAATACAAATGAAAGGAGATTAAGTGTAAAACCCACACTAGTTATAAAGTCAATTTAAATTTACTTGAGACAACCGAGGTATCTTTTCGTCAGGGAGAAGTGTTTGATAAAAATATACCCCAAACAAAAGTAAGCCTCTTAGTTTTTCTTTCTTAATAGAAGCTCAGGAATTTCAGAGCCTACTGGGAAATAAGCCTACAGATATGAAATTCACCATGTCAGAGTTCCTCTGAATGATCACAGACAAACTACCTGACCTTGATAACTTCCATCTCCACCAATTTGAATTTTATCTTTAAAGGGGAAAAATTCCAGCATGCCTATTTAACAGATTTTCAGTTTAAAATCTAGTTAGCTGGCTGAGTGCTGTACCTAAATATAAAATGGCATGGGACACAACTCAGATATTGACTAGTTTCCTCTTCAGATTTGGCCTGCACAATTTGATCTCCATATTTGTGGCCCAATAAGTGATTCATCTGTTAATCAAATCTAGGTAGTGTTTGCTTTGCAAACTAAAGTATTGTATCAGGAATGTGAACATGTTTGTCCTCATTCTTGGTAAGCTAAGAATTTTTAGCTGTACAAGCACAGTCTGCTTACCAGTGTGAACAGCAATGAAACATAGAATTCTGTTTGAGCAAGCCCATGCCTTCCTATCTTACCTGATACTTTGAGAGTCACTTTATTTTGCTCTAGTTTCCTACCCCATTGCTGCCTAACCTAGTATCAATGGGTAAATATGCCATGTCCCTGCTTAGCTGCAACCCTTGAGCTGGTGGCACAGGGATTGAAGGGCCCTAGATGTTGGTTATGGGATCAATGTGGCTGGATTGAGCTGTTACCAGCCTTTGGCTTTAGGTGGAAATAAAGTGAGGAGACCTAACATCGGAAAGACCCTGTGCATCATCCATCCAACCCTGGATTGGGGGGAGTTGGAGGAGAGGACACCCTTGGCTGAGACAATGTCAGTATTCAAAAGGTTCCCACATCTCACACACAGCCTCTGGGCACAGTTTGAAAGGTAGAGTAAAAACCAATTCCTAACACTCTGCAAGTCAGTGAATCCTAAAGGGTCAGTGGTTTGGTGGTGATTTGGGAGAAGGGATGGAGAGAGAAGCAGAAGAAAGAATAAAGGTCAAACTGACCAGCAGAATTCAATAGCAAACATTGCCAGAAAGGTTCCTGAATCTAGAGTCTGCTCATGCACAGAAGAAAAGAACCACTGTTAAAGGACTAAATGTTATAGAAATAATGGAAAAATCATGCTCAATTATGTTTGAGGGTTAGCAGTCAAATGATGGCTACAAATTTTTTTATGTTTCATGGTTTACTGGGGTTCAGGGGAAAAATCTGCATGGGATCTGAGCACCTCCATTCCAAGCTATGATGCATATGTTTTTAAAATGTGAATGTTTCCACTTGAAAACTAGAGCATGACGGATTAAAATGCAGGCAAAACCTAAGGGAGATTTTCCAGATGCACAGATGACAACTCCAGGAAATATATTAACCACAGCCACAGGCCCAACTTTGTACTCAGTTTGAAATGCAGCTCTCCTCAGAAAATGCTTAATACAACAGTGAGAATCTAATGGAGGTTGGAATCTAAAAATCCACTTTCATGATATCTGCTGTTACAGTAATATAGACATACTGTAAATGTATTTTAAAATATATAGCCCGTTTAATTCCCCAGCTATAAATGGCTCAGAAATAGAGAATGAGGGGGAGAAAGAAAGAGTATTGCTTCCCCCCTCCTTGAAACAAATGCTTTATGAAGATCTCATTGAATCCAGCAAATGATTAATGTGAAGATTTGGGCGGAAATCTGGGGAGCTGTATTAAAGCCTAGATCTCAGGTTCATTTCGATCAGCCAGCCGTGAACTCTGGGCCGAATTCATTACACTTTAATAGTGCTGGGAGAGGAAGAAAATGCAATTTCTCATTCCATTAGAAAACTAGAAAATACTCTCAGCTTGTCCTCCTATTAAGATGTGGCAGGTGACAGGGCCATTCTGGGGGACACGGTCAATGGAATTACAGCACATTATTTTTGTTCGTATAAAATATTGAAAGGCAAGCCTGACTGTGCTGAAGTTATTTCACTGATTTGGTTTTTATGTAAATAAAATATTGAAAGTTAATTAATCCGTGCTAGAGACTAATGATTATGCTTATTATATTGCATTTGATCGCATAATTTGCATGATTCTCGCATTGCTGCTTAATAAGCCATTCCAGGTTATAAATAATTCTGAAATTGGTTTCTAATAATGGCATGCTATAAAAGGAATGGTTTTATTACACTAGCCAGAAAAGGGGAGCAATATCAGACACGGATTTGGCCTCCATGTGAGTAAAGGTACTTTAGTAAATACTTCAATGTGTGATATGGTCCAGATAGAGACAAAAAAATAAGTGTATTGGTTAATTTAACCTAAAATAAAAGAGTGTCTCTGAAAACATACAATTGCAATAAATTAAATGTTTAGATCATTTTTAATCAGCGCAGTGGCCTACACCCTGGAAAGAATGTGTAGCAATCTGTTAACTATAAAGAAAACTATGAAGCACTCATCATATAAGAACATAAACCAATTACTATTTAATTTGAATTTGGTCAAGGAGCAATGGTACAGTGAATTGTGAAGTAAATACATTTTCCATAAATTATTTTTTGCATTACATTACATAATGTTAATCATTTTGAAATGTTAATTAAGAAGGTTATGTTGATCTGATTACTTTTTAAACTATGAAACATTATTTTTTAAAAATATTGAAATTGTCATTCTATTAAGTTGTTTCTATCAGCAGCCCCAAGCTATTATCTTTGGGTGAACATTATGTTACAGCAATTAACATACTTTGTCTCCTTCCTCTTGCATATTCTTTTGTGTACTTTTTGACAATAATTATCATATAGCTTATATTTTATTTCATTTATAACTTTTTCTATTAAAAGAATAACTGCCATTAACCTTTAGAAGACCTAATAAAGTTTAATAGATCTCATTTTCTTTTTTCATAAAATCAGTGGTCCAATTATATTTTATTTGTGATTCTAAGTTCTATTTTAATCTGAACTAATTACCAATAGGTCTAGATAAAGAGACAGCACTGCCTTCTTTAAAACAAAAATTAATAGTTAACATTTCTCTTGAGGGACAAAAAGTAAATTTATGAATTTTGAGTCCCCAATACTGAGACTACAACCAAGTATTGTCATTGGCATGTATTGAGAGTGTATGTTCCTACAAAGGTTTGAACTCACATTTTAAAAGAGGAGAAGGGCAGGAGATTTAAAGGACACTAATATGCTTGCACAATGCAATTAGTACTCCTTTGGTGTGTAATTTTAGTGGCTGGTAATTCGGGCCTGATTTCAGCGTTCACTAACAAACACTCAGAATTATATTGAATAAAATATTAATCATTAATAATTTTCCTCTATTAATTTGACCAGTTTAAGTCCCTGACAATATTCATTTCTTATTAGAACAAAAGCGTGTACCATTTTTCCCATCTAGACGATCTATAAAATGCCACATGGAAATAAATTCTGGGTACCCTGGTCGCTCACTTCTCAAATTAAATGAAAAATAACTGAAGTCCTTAAAGTTAATTTATAAAAGCAGGTAGAACTGGTTTAACAAATTAGTCAAGTTAGCACCCATGAGATTGCGGAGGGGCGGTGCGGGGGGGGGGGGGGGTGCGGGGATCCAAAACAGCAAAGGAATATTTTCAGAACCTCGGATAGCGCGACTAAGGACTCATGGACTCTCCTGGCAACTTTCTATAAAATATTTGCTGTTTTTGTCATTCTATAAAAAAGAAGAAAAGAAATCTGGGTCTCGTTCGTCTTATACTTTTATCCCCCAATTTTCAGAAAAGTTACCAGTGAGATTTCTTGGATTACATATAATTTACAACTTGGTGGGTGGTTGGATGAGAATAAGGAACAATAATGATTTCCTCTATTATAGGTTAACCTTTCTGGACTGCAAGATTCCTTCTTCAGGTGGGATATCTACAATAGAAAGTGTTCACTTCCCGCTTCCTTCTTAGTTTCCTTAAGGGAATCGCTATTATATTACTCTTATTATTATTAAAATTTTTTAAACTCAAAGCTCATAGGTTGCTAATCTTCCAGAATGCTGGCAAACCATCTAAGTTCAAAACCTCTGAAAACAACAAAGCTAGGAGTGTTTCTCCTGGAATATGGGAGAAGGTTATATAAAAGAGAGCAAAGCCACACAAGGAAGTTTGAGTGTAGCTCTCTCTCTCTCTCTCTTTTTTAAGGTCACCGTTACACCTTAATTCCTCTCTTTCCTGTTTTCTGTATAATGTTGCATTTCCCCCACTTATCTAAATGCTTAATAGAAACTCGTTAGGGGGTAATGAAATGCTTGTCGATAGTGTAAGCTGGAGCAGAGGCACGACCTGTATTTAGCCGCCTGGGAGACTGGAAGGTTGTCTTCCAGGGAGGGAGGAGAGTTGAATCCGGCAGCCAATAACACCAGGTTTGCTTTTGAAGAGTTTAGGTTAGGAATGTGTCTAGACTAGTGGGAGGTGGGCCCTGCAAATCCACTGGGGTAGGTGGGTCACCCTGGCTGTTGTCTGGGTAGAGTAGGAGCTCAAAGTGTCGTTGACAGCCCGAGCGGGCGCAGCGTAGGGTCCTGGCAGGCAAGAGAATGCCTGCTCCCAGTGCCCAGGCCCTCCCGCCGGTTCTTTGCTTCAGTACCTGCACTCGGGACTCGGTCAGCCCGATACGCAGCGCCAGCTCCTCACGCATGAAGATGTCAGGATAGTGCGTCTTGGCGAAGCTCCTCTCCAACTCGTTGAGTTGTGCTGGGGTGAAGCGCGTCCGGTGGCGCTTCTGCTTCTGTTGGCCCTGCTGCTGGCCGGCCTGGCTGGGGTTAGGGCCGCCCTGGGGCCCGGGCTGCTTGTCTGGGTCTTTTGCGCTCACCGCCAACGAAGCAGGAGTAGAGCCCACTGTGGTGATGTCCTCCCCGGGCAGCAAAGTGGCTCCCTCGACTGGGTCGGAGTTGGGCGCCAGGTCCCCCGGATGGCCCCCGGGGTCGGAGCCCCCAACGCCCAGCCTACACTTCACCGCCTCCCGGTGGCCCAGAAGCTCGGCGGCATCTTTCATACCTGAGGAGGCAAGAGGATCTCGGTCACTATTTTCCTGGTGGTGCCAGGAACTGCAGTCTTCCGGGTGCGGTTCTCCTCCCGCCCCATCCTCAGTCCCTCCCCGCCCGCGCTAGTCCTGAGGTCGAAACTTCCCGGTCCTCAGCCGGGTTTCCCAGGATTTGGATAGCTAGGTTGGAATAATATCTCCTGGCTCTTTCCCTTTTCTTCACAACCAGTTCCTGTCCCACACAGCTCAGGTTTTCGTTTCTTCCACAAGCACTCCCCGGCCTGGCAACGAAGCAGGCTTGAGTCCCCTTCTTAAGACCAATCCCCTTGTGCCCCAAGAAACCTAGAGCAAATCTTGGACCCGGGATGCAGGAGAGAAAGAAAGAAAATTAAGAGATCTCTAAGTGACTGCCCCACCTGAGCTTGAAACGAACTCTCTCCGGCCTGATTCCCTCTCACTTTCGGAAGATGAATAAGTCTCCAAGCCTTCCTTCCACCCTCCAAAATAAACCCAAATCAGCTCCGCCTCCCCCTCAAATCAGAGAAAGTGTTTGGAAAATGGAGTCACATCCATCACTAAAGCTCCCAAACCGGAAACCCAGAGCCCAGTAACCCAGATAACATTAAAGAGCTTGAGTAAACTGTACATCCATAACAGTGAATCAAACTTTAGAGAATTCAACTTTTTCTTCTGGAGAAATAAAGGACGCCACTGGCAACGCTGAGTCCCTGGTATAAGGCAGGGGTGCCTGGAAGGAGGAGCTCGGCTTTTCTTCTCAACCAGCACATTTAGCAAATCCACCCCTATTGCGGCAGCTTCTTCTTCATGCCATATAGTTTTTTAAAAAAAACAAATTTAACCACACTTAAAGGAGAAAGTTAAGAGAGAGAAGGAAATAAAAGGAGATGAAAGAAATTCTAAATCAAAGCAAGCAAGAAAGAAAAAGAGAAACACCTCCAATCGAATTATCATGGGATAGAGCTTTCAAAAAACAAAGGGGAGGGAAGAAGAAAAAATAAGAAAACAACAAAAAAAAGTAACAGCATTCTCCAACTCCTTTTTTTGGATCTACATATTCCATAGATTTTTTTAAAAGACGATGTTAAATCAAATTAAACTTTAATACAGCACAATTACTTTTAAAGAAATTAGTCCATTTAGGGCGCATTAAGGTAAAATAAGGAACAAATTGACAATTTCCTGCCCCGGCTTCTCCTGGCTGCCCGGGTGAGAGGCGCTCACTCACCTAGCCTGGCGTCCAGGAGGTCGGCGTGAGACAGCATCGCGCACCGCTCCAGGGCGAAAGCTGTTCCCCCCCAAATTTTAGCGGCTTTAAGTTATTTAAAATAGATATAAGCTATAAGCTATACGATATAGATATATATAGATCACCTAAATGAAAGAAAATTCGGTTTGTGGTTAAAAAGGGGGCTTCTTGCATTATAATGTCCTTTAGAGAGACGGGGAGGTGCTTAACAGTTGAATGAACCCGTGAGCAGCTTGGCGAGGGGACCAATCAGGAGGGCAGCCTGCAAATGTCAGCGCCCGGAGAGTCCCCCACTCCGCCCGCCCGCCCGCCTGCGCCTGCCCGGAGGAGGCGGCGGCCGCAGCCCTGGCAGCTCCAGCCCCAAGCAGCAGCTAAAGCAGCAGCGGCCACCTTGGCCTTGCCCAGGGATTCTGGGCCAGGCCTCCGTTAGTTCTCTGAGATTTTCTCCAGGCGCATCTTCCCTTCCCTTTGTCTTGCCTTGCTCGCTTCACTGGCTCAATTGGTGTTTCAAAGCTAAAGATCTCCCTTGAAGTGGGGACAGTGTGGGTACCACAGCAGGGCATGACCTCCGCATGACCCGAGTCGCCCCCGCCCTCGCTGTCTAGGCGGCACAGGCCTGTGGTAGCCTAGCGCACGACTAGGGCGCGCACGACTAGGGCGCGCCACCGTCTCCAGACCGTGCCTAAACTTTGCCGCTGCTCTGCAGGCCTCGGCTACCTAGAGATCCAGATGTCCCAGCTGAGCCCCGGGGCCTAGTACCCAGATCCCACCGCAGGCTAGGGAGTAGTGGCCGTGTAAATCCCGACTGTTGGCTTCGGGGAGCCGTGCGAGAAGCGCTGGCATAGGAGCGATCCACACCCTCCTCGAAAGACTGCCTTCCAGGTTCAGCTGCTCTGCTCAGCCTAGGCGCTCATCCTGGCCCCCAACCCGCTCTTTGGTCAAAGTTTCTAAGTTCACTTGGGCTCCCAACTCCACTTAAGGTTGTAAATAAAGTTAAACTCTCTTTATTTTCCTCTTGAATATGTTAAACTACTTGAACAATTTAAAGTGCTTTGCACAAGTGAAGCGAACCATTTCTAATGTTCTGATTTTTCAGAGCCAGCCAACAACAAAGTTTAGATTAGTAATATATTTCTAACCAGAGTAATTTTCAAGATCATTAGGCATTTATGTAATTAGTGCCAAATCTATAAGCTTTTATTACGATTATTAGAGTAAAATCAGTATAAATTTGTACTAATTTACTACTGTTTAGACTTGGCTGTCAAGCCCAGAGGTTCTTATTGTAAATGATAACTGAGGAAATTAAGTGCAAAATTCTGTGCCATTTCTGATCTGCTCCTAAACAATCCGTTTCAATTGTATTTGTAGCAGAACATAATGCCCTTTTAAAGTTATTTGACTTGTATTTTTATTTGCAACACAAGAAAAATGCCCTCTACCCAAGGCAGAATAAAACTGATATTTACTACTCCCAAGTTGATTAACATTGATTTTTAATTCGAGAGTGATGCAATTAAGATTATTCATTTAATTCAAATAAAGCTTCCACAAAAGGGTAGCCCTATGAAGTCTGTTTTAAATAATACCGAACAAATGGCTTTTTTTGTTCGCAGTCCAATTGACTTACACAAAACATTGGAAATGTTGCTTGAGAGCAGATGCGAGAGGAAGTGTGTGTGTGTGTGTGTGTGTGTGTGTGTGTGTGACAGGGACGAGCAAAGAGACAAAGAAGGAGGCGGTGAAGCAACTCTGGGGGCAGTTTTGTTTCCCATTTCTTCCCTTCGGTCCTTTCAGCCTCCTCCCGCGTACACACTAGTGTGCGCGCGCATTCGTGCACACGCTCGTGTGAGTGCAGGGCACCAGCTATGTTGGTGCCTTGGAGCGGTGAAGACTTATCCGGAGGCTCCCAACCTGGCGCGGCTTCAGCGGCCCTTGCAGTTGCTGCCAACGCGGCCTAGGTGGAGCCGGGGTGCTGAAGCCTGGAATGCGCGCTTGGCTGAGTCTGGGCAACCGCTGCACGTCTGGGAGCTTTCGGCAGGCGCCTGGTACCCTCTGAGAAAGGTTTTGCCTGGAAGGAAAAGTCCAAGAGCAACAGCCTGATTTTCTGTAAACAAACCCCCCAAAATTTAAAGCTAAAGCGCGGGTGCGCTCAGCAGGCGGAGACCGGACAAGACAGGACAGGACAGGACAGGACAGGACAGGACAGGACAGGACAGGACAGGACTGGACTGGACTGGACTGGACTGGCAGCCCAGGGCGAGGCTATGCGTGCTCAGAACTGGCTCCAGAGCACACATCCAAGACCTTCAACCAGTTTCAACCCACCAGGGTGGAGCTTTCGGGTATCCGGGCCCGAAAGCAGGGCAGGGGTATCAAAAAGTGACTAGGGATGGGACAGGAAGGCCGGGTACCAGACAGCTTGCTCAGACTGTCCGCGGAGGCGGTTAGTGCAGTGGCTGCGTCTTAAGGAGCCTTTGGGAGAGACTAGCATTCCTTGGGAAGAAGAGGCCGGAGCCTCCAGGTGTGTGTTCACTGCTCTCCGGGTCCTACAGCCGCCCCCAGCTCTGCTGCAGTCGGTGCGGCGCGTCCTCTCACACGCACTCGCTCGTATATTCTGTTTTGTTGTATCTTTTCAGGTCGATAAATAAATGTGTAATAGTTAATGTGAAGACACATCAGAGTAATAACAATGGGACGAAATCAAAGGATTATCCATCTCTGTTAGTAACCGCTGAATAACAATGCTGCGGCGTGATTGATAGCCCGCTTCATTTTATGACTTTTCTATTGGTCTTGATTTTTATAGCAGTATAAACAAACTAAATCATTTCTTCCAAGACTTCGGAACATAAGCATTCAGAGAGGGGGGAGAAAGGGAGAGGGGAAAGGGGAAAAAAGAAAAGAAGGGAAATCTGAGAGTGGGAGGGGGGACAAAGCGGTGTGGGGGCGTCGAAGAGCGGAGTGAGCAAGCTGGACCTGGGGCCGGAGCCGGGAGCTGGCAGCCAGCGGGCAAGCGGAGGGAAATGACAATAGCCAGGACGTAAAATGCTCGCGCCCACGCCGGTTCCCTTTGTAGCTCCTTTTGGCAAACGTCTGAATCCACCAGGGTAGCTCCTGAGCTGTATTTACCAGAGTTTTATTCTCCGTCATCTTCCCGCGTTCCTGGGGCAGCTTGGAAAGTGTTGGTCAGGCCCATTTCAGTTGATAATTCAAAGCATTTCCCACATGATCATGGGAACTGAAGTCCCTAACAAGGCCAGGCTTTAGCGTGATGGCCCCCAAATCTTCGGAATGACAACAATGTCTTCAGAAATCACTTCAAAGCAAAGTAACAGGATTTTCTATGACGGATCCAGTGATTTTTCCTCAATAAATAGGTTTTAGATTGTTACACACACGTAGACATGGAACAAAGGGAACTACCAGAAAATATATTGGTTGCCCCTAATAAAATTTATTTAGACAGTTTGCTTCTCATAAAAAATAGAGATTGAATTTTGTAAAGAGCCTGCCAAGGGCTGATGCACAGGGAAATTCTTTCTCCTTTCTTTCTTTCTTTCTTTCTTCCTTCCTTCCTTCCTTCCTTTCTTTTTTTCTTTCTTCTTTCCCCTTTTCCTCTCTTCTCCTTTATAACGAAGCACAAAGACTGTTTAAAGGCCTGGGAATCAACTCCCCGGCTCCTGCAGACCCTGCAGAACTTGGTAGCTTTGAGGGAAGTCGGCTTTGGGGGAGAGATGTTTCTTTAAAAAACAAAATCTTACAACCAACCATATAAATTACCAACACATCAACTATACAAATGGCATCTCTCCTTATGTTTTGCCATCCAGATCTGGAGCCAGACTTAGAAATAAGGTGTGAGTGGAATAGGAGGGGTGGAGAGTTGGAATGGGGTGGAATACCAGCAGCTTGCCTTAAAGATGGATTTATGTTGATTAGGTTTGCAGTTCTGATTCTCTAATTGTGTTTTTCTTTCACTGCAAATCCTTTTTACAGAGACAGAGAATAAAATATATACAGGGGTGGTTTAGGAAGAATTGGGTAGTGTGCCCAGAGCCCTAATTGCTTTTTCCACTTACCGAAATCTCCGGTGTTTATTAAATGTAACTTTCAGCTGCTTGGGTTGTTTGTAAACTGTTCTCCTTTTGTATAGACAGTGGGCTGAAATATGGTGCATTATTATTCACATTCCTGCTATTAAATGCTGAATTGTAACATTGTTCCCTTTAATGAGAAGAGCCTCCCTCAATAATTAACGATCTCACATTTTCCTATTTTCTTGCCTGATGAAAAGAATCAATTTTAATTCGTGGTAAATTACAGCCATGCTTTTGGGTATTATTTGCTTACAGAAAGCAAATCAAGTGACTTGAACACCCCTGTTTACTTTTGCAGATATTCAGTAACCCAAATGTAACTGCACAGCACATCAGATTGCTCAGGCCTACCTCAGAACTGGTGAAAATATTAAAGGGCAGGGGTTGGGGTGAGGGCCTCTGGAATCCACAGCCTTTGCAACAATGGTGACCAGATTTCTCATACACCAAGTCTTGGGCGTCAGGACCATTCCTCCCCCAGCCTCTGCCTTCACCCTGCATTGGGCAGGGTCTCTAGATCACATATAGCCACCCTGGAATTTAGGGCTGCTCCACGGATGGCTTATTTATGAGAGTGGGTGAGTGGAAGGAAAATCTGGGAGGGGGGGCAAGTCTCTGCACAGGAGTGCGGGGTGCTTCTACGCTTCCCAACTTGAGAGAACTCTCGAGGTCCCCAGCCAAAGAGACCACAGCCAAAGAAAGCATCGGCTGAGTGCCCTTGCCAGTCCGCTGAGAAAGCGGCCTCCGCTTCCGGCCAGGGCTCTCAGGGACAGAGCAGAGCGTCTTTACCTGGAAGTCAAACAGGACTGGGCCCAGCCCAAAACTGCGTCTTCCAGACTTGCCTGGCCCTGGAGCTGAGGGCCAGTGTTGCCTCCTGAGCCTACAGTCGCAAAATATCTGTCTACAAGACAGGCCCCCAACCTTTCTTCAACCCTACACAGAGAACCGGGCTGTGTGTGCATAGTACGTGTACTTCCGTGCACGCATTTGTGAGCAGTGCGGATCATAGCTTGATCACCTCCATTCTCAGGTCCTGCTAAGTGGGGGCCAGGAAGCAGC